ACGGAATATTATTTATTGGAGTCAGATATAGAGGACATTAGCCTCAACATATTGGTGAGCCTCCGTTTCACCAAACTTCACAGATGCAATACAGAGTAACAATAACAGGTGAAAACAGTTGACATAGCAGCAGCGTGTACAACTGTAGTCCTCAATATACACAAAGATAAATGCATGATCCTTAAATACAACACGGAGAACGTCAACTCAATTTTACGTAATGTAAAAGCTCCGAAAGACGTAGAAACTTTCACGTATCTGGTCAGCATCATTGATGAACGGGAATGATTCGATGTAGATATAAATGTAAGGTTAGGCAAATCAAGAGCGATATTCTTACAGTTGAAGAATACATGGAACTCAAAATAACTGTCAATCAATATCAAAGTCATAATCTTCAATACTAACGTCATGGCAGTTCTACTGTATGGAGCTGAAACTTGGAGAACTACCACAACTACCATCAAAAAGGTACAAGTATTTATAAACAATCGTCTACGCATATTACTGAGTGTCCGTTGACCGGATACCGTCAACAACAGCCTACTGTGGAAGAGAACAAACCAGGTTCCAGTTGAAGAAGAAATTAGGATGGTACGTTGAAGGTGGATAGGACATATGTCACGGGAATCATCAGTTCGAATAGGGAAGGAAGTCCTAACTTGGAATAATGAAGTTAAAAGGAAAAGTTGAAGACCAAGTAATACAATGAGTCGAGAACTGGAGATAGACATGAAAATGAGTAGCAATTGACAGCAATCGAACGGGAGAGTCTGGGAAAATGTAGTTACGATAATCCTGGTCGGTGGCCTACAATCTTTGAGAGTTAAAAACGCTTAGATAACTGTTACACTTACAGGACTGAAACCATAAGCCAAAACTTTTCTGTTACTACTTTATTATTACGAGAAATAAATAAAAGATCATGAATTTACAGATTCCTAAAGCCGAATTCTTTTTATCCTATCGACACATCCGAAAGTACGCCCGAACAGTCAGTGAGTTTCTAAGCTGACTGAATGTGGATAAAATTAAAATGTCTAGAAGATATGGATGTTTCTTACAATTTTAGACGAACTCGCCCATTTATTCTACGTAGAAAATCATCGTGATCAATTTCACATCACTGGTGTAATTTATGGTAAAGACTGAAATAAACGACAGTTAGTGAGACTATAAGGACCAGTGATTTTCGTTTACTAAAATATTCTACACAGTGTCTAATAAAGTATGCAATGCAGTGAAAGCCTCAAATCTTAAATATCTGTACGAACACATCAGTCCTCAAATATTTACTGATAAGAATGAACCACGTTTACTTTTGTCACTGAATTAAACCGTAGTATGTTCTATACTTCAAACAATGGAATTATTATAAATTAGAAACTAAGTTCTGAAAAGCTGATTAATCTTAATGTGGGACCGAAAACCAATAATAGGTCATCAGTAGCTTCACTGATATAACTGCTTACCGTAGATAAATTTTTTCTCACCAGCTAGTGGCGAGAATTCGAACTCGTAAGATTCTGATTTTAATACTCGTTTAATTACATTGGAAATATTTTGTTGCTTCAAGTAATCTTAATAGAAAATTCACTTTGTTGTTTGATTAATCAACTAATAGGATTTTGTTCATTTAACCGTTCTTTCTTATTTTTAGTAAGGAATTTGCCATAGTTGACCACTATCACAGATCATAGATGTATTTGATTAGGTTACATACTGTAAATATTTATAAAGTTGTAGTCTTTCAAATTTGTTGATTAAATATTTTGATACCTACTAAGAAATAATATTCAATGTGATTTCATGAGAAAACGCTATTATTAGACTGTATTGTCTAAATAAATGAAGGGAAGTCACGGTGACTTGTACTCAAATGAAAACATTTACTTGGTCAAATCGAATTGGGTTGCCATGATATTAATGACTTACCAATTCTACTGATCCTAAGAGATAGTGGATAATTAATTTAAACATTGAGTTACTTAAGGAAAGCGTATGAATTCAAGAGATTGAATGATCAGGTTTAAAATAATGGTCGATGTCCCAAATAAGGTGAAATGGTAGCTATCAGTGTTGAACTTATAGAAACACACAACTAGTTCAATAATTTCATAAAATGTATGTAAAGTGACTACGACTTCATAGACAGTTAGTTTACTTTTTCATTAAATTCGATTATACGAAGCATTTATCCATTGAAGTTATATCTACAATAGTTTTTGGCTTCATATCTGAGAATGATAATAACAAAATGCTGCAAACAACTGTTAACATATAATATAATTTCAACTTTCGGTTAGTCGAACGATAGAACATCTTTGTTTTCATAGAAGATAGATATTTTAAATTGGGATACCTAAGCGCTTTTGAGTATAGAATTCGAAGTAACCTTACGCTTCTGCGAGCTAGATCGAATACCATTATAAACATATGTACATCTAAAAATGCATCTGCCATTCTTAACAATAACGCAAAACCATAAAATGATTTGAAAAGTCAAGAATTACCCTAACAAAAAATTGTGAAAAGTTTACCTTACAACAAAATGAATATTTACCATTTAAAATCCACTTCAAAGTATAATCAAAACGCTTATAAGCATTTGGTAGAAAACATCAATAAAAATAAAAAAAAACTGTAAAACGATTGTAATGACTTAACAAAACAAAAAACTGAACTAAATGTAAAGAATTTTTTTAAAAAAGAGTCGAATATTTCAAGGAATAGATGCTTTTATTACGTTGAATTTTGAACTAATTAATTAATTTAATAATAATAATAATAATGATAATAATAGTAATAATAACAATCCCTAGTAACTCTTATACCTAAACATTTTTAAATAGCTGTAATATGTTGTTGTCAATGTATTCCAATCTTATTCATTACTATTAATGTTACTGTTTGTTTGAAAAAAAAAGAAATAAAATGACTTTTCTGAACTTTTTAAAATATTATTTTGAAAGTTTATTATTTCTAGAATTTTATTCGAAAAATTTGATCAATATGGAATATAACATGTTTATCGATGGTAGTAGTATATTATTATTATTATTATTATTATCATTTTTAACGTGATGTAGTATTGAATTGGGTGAAATAATGACCAGTTGGTTGGTTTGTATATAGCTGAAAAATGATTACAATTAAAAAAATATGGAAAATAATGAATAATTTAGTTAAAACAAACATGATAGTAGTTGCATAATTAAATATTAAGGTTTATGTTATAAAAATGATAGTTAATCATTACAAAATGATATTAAATAGAAAACTAGGGCATACTATACAATAATTTCATTTTGTCTGGAACTTTCCAATGATACATTCTTATGATTTGTGGATGGTCAAATCTATGGGTTTAGCTATAAAATTTTAGACTATAGAGTTGATATCAAGTGATCCATATGAACAACTTCAGCCATTTTATGTTATGAAAAGATTCTTATCTTAACATTTAGCGAATATCTATAAAACACTCAAGTTATCGTTTAATTGAACGATGTTATTGTGTTGAGAATGAATTATGAGTAATCAGAAATATATCGGTATACATATACTCCTACTGTTCATACTCTTTCAGTAGTAAATTTCAACAATTAATAAGTTTTTTTCAATTTAATAGTTGAATTTATAAGTCAATTGAAACTAAACCACCACAGGAGACCTGGAAATACTGGATGGCGGTTTCGTCCGGTATAAGACTCCTCAGCAGTGTGCATTCATGAATCCAACTATTAAATTACTAAAATCTCCACAAAACACTCTTCTATAATAATCATCATGTACTCATTGGTAACTGGCTTCAAGAGGTATTTCCTGGAGTTCTAGTGAGAAGCTATGACCAGTGGAGTTCAACCAGGTCTGTTGTAAGATAGTAACTCACTGAAGGTAGTGGTAGACGGTGGCGCAATTTCGTGAATTGGTTGAAGTTAGACATTAATACCGTTGGATGCCAGCTCAGTGGTGTAATGGTTAAGCGTTCGCGCACGAGATTGATGGGTCCTTGGTTCGAATCCCGCAGGGCGGGATCGTGGATGCGCGCTGCTGAGGAGTCCCATACTAGGACAAAACGGCCTTCCAGTGCTTACTGGTTTCCTATGGTAGTCTAGCATTAACTGATGCATGAATTCAACTATTAAATTACTAAAATCTCCACAAAACCCTCTTCTGAAAAAATATTGCTGAATACGTTATCAATATACTTTGTAGGAAGTAAATTGTTTTATCCAGAGATAATAAGGTTTAACTGACTATACAAAATAATCATCAGCAAAATTGATTATGTTGAAATGACCTAAATAAAACGCTTTAATTGTATAAATTTTAATATTTCATGTTTACTTAGTAATTATTCCTTAGAAACTATAGAACAGAAACTTGTAAGTAAGTGCTATTATGTGTCCTCTTAAATTAAAATGATAATATATCGCCTCTCTGATCACACTTTGGTTACTAACGTAATCTGACGTTCATAGGATAAATATTCATGAAACCCATTCTTAACTGAGGTATACTAGTTGTAATTCTTTAGTGATATATATATATATATATATATATATATATATATATATATATGCTTGAAATCTTTTTTCTCAACATTATTTGTCATTTAATTCACCTTGTAGGCTTGTAAACGTTTCTCTTCCAAGTTTATTCGTAACACATATCTTAATATTTAATTTATTTTTGGTCATACATTTTAACACCAATTGTCTGATACAACCAAAAGATTTATAACGGGAAAATCTAAAACGTTTTGCATTTTTCTGTTTCTCATTTTGTTTGATTTATATACCTTGATTTAACTATCATTTCATTTTAAATGTAGATTTTTCATTTAAAATGATATTAAGGTGTTCAACAAAGTCACTAAAATATTCCATCTAACAGAAAAAACCAATCGCACGAGATTTTATATAAGTGCGATATATCGCTTCAAGTTACTTTTTTGCACCAGAGCAAGAAAAGAAAATCAACGACAACGACTTTAAATAAAATTAATGATGATAGAGAATATAATTAGTTCGGTATAAAGGAAATCAAAGAGTGGTGGTGGCGAAATAATATTCAAACATAGGAGTCTGAGGGTGATGATTGATAAAAATCGTACTAGTAACATAATATTTCAACCGTGTAACATAAGGCCTTTAATCAAAGAGGAGGATCACCTCTCGAGACTCAATAAACAAGTCTATATTTTATGGTACAGTTCAGACTGGAAAACAGTCATTTCACCAGTAGGTGCCATTTTGTTCTTTGGTCAGCAGAAGTCCTTTTTTAACTGATTACTATGATAACAATCAAAACAAAAAAAATCATGATGATAGTTACTTAGGCAACCATGGATAAAAATAATCTTAATATCAATGTTTTATAACTCTGAATTGAAGGGAAGATAATTTTATATGCATTAAAAAACGACTTCACAACTTACTTCTTTGTTCAAGTAATCTTGAAAAGCTTTCTGTTCATGAGCTAGCTGAAGATTTTTTTCAGCTACTTTTCGATTTATTTCACGTGTGGATCGTTCAATTTCTCTTTCTATTAACAAGCCTAGTCTAGATGATTTTAATAGTTGATTATCCCATTCTTCATCTTCTTGCTTTTGTCTTGCTAACTGACGCTTCAATAAACAAATAAATAAACATAAGAGATTTCCATTAGATGTTGGTCTAATTTATTGAGTACTGTACACCAATAACTCGTTTGTAGACTGATAACCTTCAGGCGACGGTCATGTTTCATGTAAAAACTCGAATGCAAATTCATAATAAATGTAATAAATTTAAAGTAACAAATAATTAACTAGTAAATGGAAGAATCTACAAATCTTACTTATTTTTATCTAGAAATGGTCATTGTTTAAATTGACTAACTAACAAACTTGAAAACTTATTATATTAAAACATTTTCAGCAACATTAATCTTCTGTGCTTATCAAGAGAATAAGTTAAAAATTCATTTTCGCGTTGATAACCATGGTGACCTAATGTTTTATCTGACATTTGTTCTAAAGAATGATCTTTAAGAATGAGAAATTTAATAATTTTAAGTTCTTTTATTTACATTAACAGTTACAGACGGCTAATATCAACAGGATATTTGTAAGTTGTAACAGTAACATATACTTGAATTTGCTGAAATAATATTGCGTGAAAAATGAATGAAACGTTATCTAATATATTTCTTAAATTTTGTTCCGTTTCGTTTTTGTTTGTGACCAAAACAATCGCTAATTACCTTTATTTTAACGAATAAAAATAATTTTGTCATTAAATGCACAACATAATGCATAATATTTAGCCATTTTCTCACTAGGTTGAGCTGAGCAAACGCGCATCCTCAATGCTTATAACCAGTAAACTTCCTAAAGCGATGTGTTAGAAAACCTATATGAACGTTTGGTTGAATTTTGAATGCTTTAAACTCAGCATTACTGCTAAACAATCTGATACCTCTCTTTCTTTCATTTGCTCCTCCTGAGATTTACGAATATCTTTTATTTGTTCAAGTGTCATTCCTTTGTAACGGTCAGGAATTATTCGATTAGTTCCAAAAGCAGATATTGCTTGAGCAGGATTCTCGCTAAGGAAATCACCATATATTGCATTGCATATCTCTGTCATATTGTCATCTTCTGTTTGTTTGGCTTTTAGAAGAGCTTTTTGGTCACTTTCTTCTTTTAATAATTTGTTATATCTCTGCATGGCTACATTTATTGCTCGTCGGCATTGTTCCTCAGCTTTTTGAAGTTCACATGCACGTTGATCTAATTCTCTTCTTTTAAGATCATACAATCTAGGTGTTTTTGAAATTCAGATAAAAAAAATTAAAACATTTCAAAATAAGAATCACCTTACTAAAAATAGAAATGACCAAGTAGTTCTGCTCATATTTCAACTAATATTCATTCAATAACGTGTTCCTTACTTCTGCTGCGTAAAATAGGCGAAAATGTAGTAGGGTCTAGTTTATTTGCGGTTAATTTAAACCAGTGATATACAAGTCAGAAGAAAGTAAACACCCGGTTTTCATGCTTGATGGATGTATATCTAATAGTCTATTGACAAATATAAAGAATTGATTATCAGACGGTCTTGTAATTAAGCAAAGTGAAATTGTACACCGTTGATACTAGGCTATATAATACTGAAAATCAAAATGTTTCAGATTATCTGCTTACATATGTAGGCTTAACAAGCAGGAAACTCTATAGCAACGCACATGTTTGTGGGCATTCAAACAAGTGGTGGCGAAGCAGTTCGTTTGATAATGTCTGTTGATGAAATAATTTCTATGAATAATCGTTGACAAACTGTATCCGCACAAAGAGTTTTTTTGGTAATTGCTATTGGTTATCAAGTTTAATTATTAGGTTTTCAGAGTAACTACAACCTATTTCACAAAAAGCCGCCGGGCAAACTGTTGTCGAACTTAGTCAGATTTTCTAATTAAATGCTTTTTGTATTACCAGGGGCTGGGATCCCCAAAATCAAAAGTACTTATTAGTTTATCTTTTGTTTGGCTCCCTATCACCGATAAAGTTTTCAGAGAGAAGAGCTAAAACAACCTGAATACTGCAGTATTATAAGGCATTATAACACAAGTGCAAGACGAACTGATTAAATTTTACATAATGAAATAAGACTACCTGAGATGTTAAACTGATAAAACAAGACTAGAGTGAAAAAGAGTCGAACGATTTGTTTAAAGTTGATCTTTTTTGCTCAGAATGTCACCACGCAAATGTCTTGTAAACCACTAGGAATATTAGGTTGTGCAATTGTTTTATAAGGGATGCTATTCAATTTTCAAGGCATACCAAACAAGTTGACTAATTAAATGAGTAATTCGTCGTGGATTTTGCTTTTAAACGTTTCTAAATTCGTACAAAGCAAAATAATGAGTTGACAAAAAATATAAATCTATTTTAGACAATATACGTTTCAAAAGACCTTAAACATTGAGGTCTCATGCTAACAAAACTTAGTAAATTGTTTCTTGTAGTATTCTGTAGCTGATTATAAAATGCAAAAACGAAAGAAAGCGCTTCTAGTAATAACCACTATTATTAAACATCGCTAACTATCAACAAAAAAGCGACTAGTTAGTCAAAAATTCACTTAGAATGGATTTTCATATTGCTCTGGTGCTGGAATCTGGCTTAGGCATTAGATTGACAGACAAAGGCGATTACCTTTAAATGAGCAAGCTAGTCGTTCCGGCTGATGAAGAAAAAATCACTGAAAACATATTACTAGGCCTAAATAAATTTATATTACTGCATTTTACATTGTGAAATGTTCAGTATAGTTTGCAAGAGACAGGTTTTTTCCGTACGACATTATACTCATTTTGAACAAGATCCAATACAGAACGTGATCGGTGAATTCATCCAACTAACTTGTGTTGAGTCGTGTGACCGATTAAAATGCCTATACTTACGGTATCTTTTGATTGTTTATCCATCTATTTATTTAACTGTTAACTATATTTCATTACTCTATTGATATATAAATATTTGGCACACGTTGATTAGGTGACACGTTGGACAGTTTGAACTCATATCAATAAGATGCCAAAGAGACGTGAATAATGTAGTAATGGATTTGTTTCTGCTTCGATACAATTGCTGGTAATTGTAGTGCCAGTTTTAATATAAATAAAATATAATTAATGAAAGATCTGCATCACAATTACTTTACTTCTGCTACGTCGATTCAATTCTTTTGTGACTCTACTGTACGCGTCGGTTAATTTAGTTGTTTATATATATTGAAGAATATTGCTATTCGAGTTCTTATTCAGTCTTTTCGTCATAATCAATCGACTAACTGTGAAAATCATAATACAATCATTTGTACTGAAATTATTTAATTTTATCAGGGTGGATAAATTATTACTTACTTTTGGAATTTGATCACGTGATAGTTAAAATACCTAGATCACACTGTGGCGGTAAATAAATCCCCAAAATAAATAGCCCTGTAAGTTTTCGACATTGGATGCTGACCATATGTTTTAGTGGACTCATCTAGCTGAAGGCGCTCGGTCAGGCATCCGCACCAGATCACGTGTGGTAACGCCGTGCTCAACATCTACCTCAATCGCTAGCCAGATTAGATCAGAGAATTCCGATATATATGTAATCACCAAATACACTCTTCCGATCTCTTTGACTCTGTCTTTTGATTTCTCTTGGTGGGTACGAATTATGTTAGAAGGTGTTGCTGGTAAAAGCGTTGTCAAACACTGAATACCCGTGATATCATCATTGGTGAGACCGAAGTGATCTGGTAACCGAATTGCAACTGTGAGTCTGTTCCTTTTTGGGATTTTTGTATATCATTACCTTATTTTTTATTTTTTCTAAACATTGTGATTTTTTTTCGTATTTTTTCTTGGATATATATATATATTTTCCCCTCGTTCATTATTTTACTTCATATTTCATCATGACTGAACAGACACCTAAGGTACTCAAGCTTAAGACCTTGTCCCTACCTTCGTTTCAACTGATGCCTTTCTGGCCCGACAATATCGAAGCCTGGTTCTGCTACACAGAAGCCGACTTCTCCGAGCACGGCGTGATCGACACACGTGCACAATTCCTCGCAGTAGTCAAGGCACTACCGCGCGAATTCAACAGGTACGTAACACCTAGTATGTTTACTAGTGATGTTTCCGAAACTCACAAAATCTTAAAACGCTCAATTCTCAAACGAGGAGACCTAACCGATCGACAAACGTTAGATCAACTCTTCAATAAAATATATGTTTGTTTTAGTTTGCCGGAACTCTTACCAGATTCAGGTGGATACTCCTCTCTTCCGGTGTGTATACGGTTTCACACGATGACCAGAAGCAACGCATACCTAAGACATTACTACTGAATCAATGTCACACGCATTCGTCAAACGATGAGTAGCAAACTTCAGCTACCCTTCAACGAACACTACGGACCGTGAACGCCAATTAAAATCCGGACACTCCCACTAGGAACAACGCGATTCTGCACAATCATCTACTTTTGAAAGCTAATGGGTCAGTAGAATGATTTCACCAACAGTGGAAGGCTTCACTTTCACGTGCAAACTTAGCTCAATGGACTGACACTCTTCCACTCGTGTTACTTGGTACTCGAAATTCAGTAAAAGCTGACGTCGAACACTGAGGTACAACTCCTTTCAGGAACAAGACTTGAACTTTCAGGAGGATTCGTGTCCTTCATCTATATCAACGAATGTGGATCTGAACTCCTAAATCAGCAGGCTCGCAAGCACTATGGGTTCTGTTAAATCTGTTCACATTAGGTCGCAGTCCAATGATGTTCTCGCTCAAGCTGTCTTACAACTTAGTACACGAGATTTTTACGACGCGATATATTACAATGACTCCTCAAAACTGTATATTAATGACCCTTCTAAGTTCTTCATTGCAAACCTAATTACTATACCATTCATAGGTACGGAACTAACGATAACATCAACGTTCACCGTCCTAAAGCCGGTTCGCTTGGAAGGAAACCGTGACTTTGTCGATTTTTTTCGCGAACAATTTAGCGATACAGGTCTTACGACCATAATGTCATTGCTGATAAGTAATGACGATAAAACACCGCTGGTATCCGATTGCTTGCTCAAGCAATGCGCTCAGCAAGAACGGCAGGATTGCGGAGCACTGTATCAACTAGTGTACATAGGACATTGTATAAGTTTACTGTTTTGTCTCTCCTCCACGTTCACAACTATTTGGCTGGATATCAAGTTGATTAATATAAGCGCGTCAAAAGATATTGTAGCGGTAAATAAATCTCCAAAATAAATAGCCCTGTAAGTTTACGACATTGGATGCTAACCAGATTAGTTTTAGTGGACTCACCTTGCTGAAGGCACTCGGTCATGCATCCGCACCAGATCACGTGTGGTAACGTCGTGCTCAACATCTACCGCAATCGCTAGCCAGATTAGATCAGAGAATTCCGATATATATGTAATCACCAAATACACTCTTCCGATCTCTTTGACTCTGTCTTTTGATTTCTCTTGGTGGGTACGAATTATGTTAGAAGGTGTTGCTGGTAAAAGCGTTGTCAAACACTGAATACCCGTGACATCATCATTGGTGAGACCGAAGTGATCTGGTACACCGAATTGCAACTGTGAGTCTGTTCCTTTTTGGGATTTTTATATATTATTGCCTTATTTTCTAATTTTTATACATTGTGATATTTTTTTCCTCGTGTCTCAGTGTATCTATATATTTTTCCTTCGTATTCTCGTACTTAATATTACCCTATGATCGAACGGACTCCTAAGGTATTTAAGATTAAGACCGTGTCCCCACCCTCGTTCCAACTCATACCCTTCTGGCCCGACAATATCGAAGCCTGGTTCTGCTACACAGAAGCCGACTTCTCCGAGCACGGCGTGATCGACACACGTGCACAATTCCTCGCAGTAGTCAAGGCACTACCGCGCGAATTCAACAGGTACGTAACACCTAGTATGTTTACTAGTGATGTTTCCGATCCTTACGAAATCTTAAAACGCTCGATTCTTAAACGAGGAGACCTAACCGATCGACAAAGGTTAGATCAACTCTTCAATAAAATCGACCTGCAACACGGTTCTGCGACAGACATGTTGCAACGGATGAGAGAGGTTATAGGCCCAAGAACTTTCGACGAAGGTCTATTCAAACAACTCTTCTTGTCAAAACTTCCCCAACAGGTGCAAGCAGTTCTGGTCTCGTTCCAGAACAACGCCTTAGACGACCTAGCTGCATCTGCCGACCGCATTCTAGAAATTACGAAACCTACTACCGAGGTATTTTCAGTCAAAGAAAAGCCTCACACGACTCAGAATGATATAACCGACTTATGTCACACACTCACGCGTTATCTTAGTCTTCGTACCGACCGTAAGAGATCGCGCACACCACGTAGAAGCATTTCTCGTAAGCGATCTGTCTCTAGACCACGAGAGACAGATAACCCCGACTGGTGCTGGTATCATAACCAGTATGGAAAGTTTTCCAGAAATTGCAGAAAACCCTGCAATTTTCCCAACACGAAACCGACTGACTCGAAAAACAATTCGGGAAACTTCCAAGCCGGCACGCGTTAACGGCAACCGTAGCCGGCGAACAAAGCCGTCTGTTATTCGTCACAGATGTGACAACGAGAGTTCGCTACCTCGTCGACACTGGCGCAGAAGTTAGCGTTCTCCCAGCAAATCCTAACGACCGACTTCACGAATCGACCCTAAACTTACAGGCGGCAAACGGAAAACCGATCGCTACGTATGGCAAAAGGTACGTTTACCTTAACGTGGGTTTACGCAAACCCATCCACTGGATTTTCGTCGTTGCAGATGTTTCTATGCCAATCATTGGTATGGACCTTCTACAACACCACAATCTGATCATCGACACTCGCAAACGGAGGCTAGTAGACGGAAACACTAATTTGTCCGTTTGCGTAACTTCTTTTACTGGTTGTAGAGTATCCCCAGTCACAGTTAAACATATGATAGACCCACTCTATCAACCACTACTCGATAAGTACCCTGGGATACAACAAACTCAACCGAAACTACCGTGTGTAACCAGCAATGTTACACATCACATCACGACTACAGGACCACCTGTATTCTAAAGCACGACGACTAGCTCCTGAAAAGCTAAGGTTAGCGAAAAACGAATTCGATCACATGATGGACTTAGGAATCATACGACCGTCAAGTAGCCCATATGCATCTCCGTTGCACATGGTCCCTAAAAAGGACAGCAACGATTGGCGTCCAACTGGCGACTATCGGCGATTGAACGCGAAAACCATTCCCGATCGTTACCCGTTGCCTCACATTCACGATTTGACAGCTACCTTGAAAGGTACAACTGTCTTTTCGAAAATCGACTTGGTTAAAGCGTATAACCAAATCCCTATGGCTACTGACGACATACCGAAAACGCTATCATAACTCCCTTCGGACTCTATGAATTTTTGCGAATGCCTTTCGGTCTAAGGAATGCTGCTCAAACATTCCAAAGATTCATAGACGACGTTTTTCGAGGTCTCAACTTCGTACACGCGTATGTTGACGACTGTCTAATCGCAAGTCCGGACAGAGAAACACATCTCAAGCATCTGGATCTTGTTTTCGAACGATTACAAAAACATGGCATAACTGTAAACGTTCAGAAATGCCAATTTGGAACCGACTCGTTAGACTTTCTGGGACACACTATCGATGCTCAAGGTATCCGACCCCTTAGAACCAAAGTGGCGGCCATTCTGGATTACCCAGAACCGACCACCGTCAAGCAATTACGCACGTTCAACGGCCTGGTAAGTTTCTATAGACGTTTCATACCCAAATGCGCATTACTTATGAAACCTCTGACCGACCAACTTCGTGGAAATGCGAAATCCATTAATTTGGACGACACCGCACGAAAAGCATTCTCCACAGTTAAGGAACTGATTGCTAAAGCAACAATGCTCGCACATCAGGACACCCGAGCACCCATTAGCATCGCAGTAGACGCATCCGACTCGGCAATCGGAGGAGTCTTACAACAATGGGTTAACAACTCCTGGCAACCCTTGGCATTTTTCTCTAGAAGGTTGCTAGACACCGAATCGAGGTACAGCACATTCGGTAGGGAACTCCTAGCTATGTATTGTGCTGTACGGCATTTCCAACACTATATCGAAGGCCGTGAATTCACTCTTTTCACGGACCATAAACCGCTCACTTTCTCGTTAAGCTCTCCTTCTGACAAGTACTCTCCCCGTGAGTCTCGACAACTGGACTACATTTCGCAGTTTACTTCAGATATTCAACACATCTCTGGAGCAAACAATGTAGTTGCAGACGCCTTATCTCGCATAACTTCCTTGAACAGTTTCCAAGGAATCGACCTTCTTAAACTCGCCGAGCTTCAAAAAGAAGACACTGATCTTCAGCACGAGTTATCGTCCACAACACTTAAACTACGCATCAAACAGATGGGAACAGGTAAGGAAACCTTACTTTGTGACACATCTACAGGTAGGGATCGCCCAATCGTGCCGAAACATTATCGACGCAATGTCTTCAATACATTGCACAAACTTTCTCATCCAGGTGTTCGTGCAACCATCAAGCTTATAGCAGAACGATTTTGCTGGCCTGGCATGAATAAAGACGTGAGGGAGTGGGCACGCTCCTGTGTAAGCTGCCAAAAATCTAAGGTTATCAGACACAATAAATGTCCCTTAGGCTCGTTTAAAACTCCCGATGCTCGTTTCGACCATGTTCATCTGGATTTGGTAGGACCTTTACCAGATTCAAATGGATACTCTTATCTCTTAACCTGCGTAGACCGTTTCACTCGATGGCCAGAAGCAGTACCTATCAAGGACATCACTGCTGAAACAGTGGCCCGCACATTCGTCGAACGATGGGTAGCAAACTTCGGCTGCCCTTCAACCATCACTACAGACCGCGGACGTCAGTTTGAATCTGATCTTTTCCGTCGTCTGACCACACTTTTAGGAATCACTCGCTTCCGAACGACCGCCTACCACCCACAAGCAAACGGGTTGGTAGAACGTTTTCACCGACAACTAAAAGCTTCACTATCAGCTGCAAACGTTTCACAGTGGACCGACGCTCTTCCACTCGTCTTACTAGGTATCCGCAATGCAGTGAAAGCTGACATTGGATACACTGCGGCTCAACTCGTTTATGGAACGACACTTCGACTTCCAGGAGAATTCGTGGATCCTTCGTGCTCTTCAATGAACATGGATCTAACCTCCTACACGAACAGGCTTACAAACGCAATGCGTTCAGTTAAACCTGCTTCCACTCGACCTCAATCAACTGATGTTTTCGTTCAACCTGACTTACGATATAGTACACACGTTTTCGTTCGTCGAGACTCGCATCGACGACCATTCGAATCAGCATACGAAGGACCTTTCAAAGTTCTTCAACGTGAATCTAAGTACTATATAGTCGATAAGAACGGAACCAACGATAGCATCAGCATCGATCGCTTAAAAGCAGCGTATTTAGAAGGAAATCCTATTCACGTCGACTTTCCTTCGGTACAATCGCTAAACACAACTCCTACACTCATAATTCCTCAACCGACAACCAACACTAGCGATGATACTCCGAATGTATCTGAAAGTAAACCTAAAACGACGCGTTCTGGAAGAAGAGTAAGATTTCTAGAACATTTAAACGACTACTGCACGTAAGGGACTACTCGACATTTTACATTATCTCGATTTTTCTTTTTACGATGTATAATATTAAAAAAAACAATTTTAATATGCCTATATGTTTATATTTTTTTATTCCAAAAAAAAATAAAACAAAAATTTTTTTAACGACATTACGTGTAAATTAGTTTAGATTCCGATTTTTTTCGCCGACATTGTGTTTTTACGCACATACGAGTGTATTTCGACATGCACTTACATTTTCTTTTTTCTTTTCCAGGACGGCTGGAAAAGGACGATGCAGTTTACGAGGAGTCGAAATTTTCATCGTACTTTTTCTTTTTTTACTATGTTGTACCTCGGTCCCATATAGTAAGGAAAGACGACCGGACGCTGCTAAACCTAGCAAGCCATCAGAAGAGTGTGTACCAACGACAAACTCGCTGGGTTTAAACTTCTGGCTGGCCACGTCTTAGGGTCATCACTAACCCACTTGGGGGGGGAGTGATCTGTAGCGGTAAATAAATCCCCAAAATAAATAGCCCTGTAAGTTTTCGACATTGGGTGCTGACCATATGTTTTAGTGGACTCATCTAGCTGAAGGCGCTCGGTCAGGCATCCGCATCAGATCACGTGTGGTAACGCCGTGCTCAACATCAACCTCAATCGCTAGCCAGATTAGATCAGAGAATTCCGATATATTGGTCATCGCCAAATATACTCTTCCGATCTCCTCGACTCTGTCTTTTGATTTCTCTTGATGGGAACGAAATATATTAGAAGGTGTTGCTGGTAAAAGCGTTGTCAAACACTGAATACCTGTGACATCATCAACACTAATTGAACCCTTGTAAGAAAGTGGTTTTTATCGTGCTTTGTATAAACACAATCGATCTCTCAACTAAATTTAAAGTTTTCTGGATTATCAAGAAGAGCGTATTTTTCCATCACCAGGCTTCTCTTCGCAAAAGTAACCAAAACTGGAGAGAACTGTACAGATCTTCTTTAGAGTAGCTCCAATTTAGAATTCCTGAAAATCTTGTGAAGAATTATAACTTAAAAGCCTTTTGCTGATTGAAACAAAAAATAAACAGTATGCAAAAATTTGGATTTGCGTTCAGATTCACTGCAAACTAACCGAAGTCAAAACACACAATACTTTCTAAACGTTCAAAATGCCTTGTGGTCCCTGGATGAATTGAGTTATATAGGTTTAATTTAGTGTTACAACAAATGTGAACACCACTAAAATGTCGCATATTGAGGGAAAAGACTGTTAAATCTTTGCCTGTGTCTAACTGTTGTGTAGATAGTGTGAGTGGCTTATGAAAACTCATCTTCGAAACCAAACAAAATCCCTAAAAATCATTCAATCTAAAAACTATAGTATTCTAAAAACGACCTCAGTACAATGAAGAGAAATTTAAAAATTTTAGTGCACAGACATATAATAAGGTCATAAAAGATCACTTTTTTGACAAAAAACTCCAAATAAGTAAAAAGCTAATAAGGAGTAGTCACTCCTCACTGACTCCTCAAGGAGCACATAGATTTATATTTACCTGTCTGCCTCCTTCTTGGCATTTTCGGCCCTATTCCTTTCCTCAATCTGTCTGTCAAACCAGTTTTGTAACTGTTCTCGTTGATACTTCATTCTAGCCTTTAAATTCAAATCTTCACCATCAAACTTTTGAAGAGAGGCAACGCCACATCGAGGGTCATCATCGGAAACACGAGCAGGACGGTCTAACTTTAATGCATTGGGATCGTAAAGGTCAAATTCTCTTCTTGACTCAGGCTGCTGATGAACAGATCTGAACTCATTAAGATTCTTTGCAAGTTCTTTCTCATCGTCATGTTGTCGTTTCTCAAATAAGCACGCAATCTTGTCGTTGCGCGCTGCATCAGCAGCTAAGCCCCGTATAAATAAACAATTATCAATTTACCATATGCTAAATCACGTTGTTTCTCGTCTAGCTCTCTAAGTTTTTTCTCCTCCACCTGATGTTTAAGAGCTTCGTCATCAATCTGTAGCATAGTGAATTCAATGAACTTTTAGAAATTACTCCAATTTGACGAAAACGGGAGTCAAAAATACGTGCTTGACGCTCTTTCTCTCTTCTCCTTCTTAATTCAATCGCTGCTGCCTCTTTAGTATCTATCGGCAAATCAAGTTTATACATTAGACCCGACGTCCGTCAACTTTCGTAATCGTACCCTCTCGGTTGTTATAGTAATATGGTACATAACACTATGAGCAGTAGATATCATGATTTCGAATTGTCAGAATTATCTGCCTTTCAATACTCTTTACAATATTTCTGTTGTAAATAGTTGGGATGTTTGCTTGATGCGTGGATTTCCTCATTGTAGTTAGTCTTCATTGGATAATGGATTGATAACAACCACGAGTGACTGTCTATATTTTTAACTTACTGTTCAATGTATGAGGTTCATACTCAAAAGGGGGTCGTTCTTATATCATGTTGCTAAACCATTTTGTCTGAAAGATGCTACAAATATTCAGGGTTTGACAAAAGTTTTGTCTGTAGGACATTAATACATAATAGACGACAACTCAGTCGGGTCAAAAGTCAGAGATGAATGAGTCCGATGATATATTTTGAAAGTTGCCAATACATTAAGAAGCATTTGATCCGGTCTGGCCAGTAGTTCCAAGGTAAGCGGACGGACGAGAACCGGTGCTTTCAACGTGGTATGGTCGCCGTCACAGACTATCTTGCGCGGATGAGTGAACAAGTATCTTTAACTAGGGTATGTCCAGCTATAATTGTGAGGTCAGTATAAATATCAAAAATTTACAAGTTCATTCATTTATGGGTTTATTTACTGCTATAGCTCATTCCTTCTTGGAGGGGTTGCGATGAATCTAAGACGCGATGAACCAGAAGTTTACACCCAGCAACCATGTCGTTGATAAACACTATTCTGATGGCTTGCTATGTTCAGCAGCAACTGGTTGTCTTTCTTTGGCACAAGGGGCTATGTGGAACAATATAACAATAAAAAATGTACAATTAAAGTTTTGACTCATTGTATTGTTTGTCGCTTTCTATCTTTTTCCGTCATCCCGGGAAAGGAAACAAATTAACATGTAAGTGAGTGTCGAAATACACCCGCAATTGCATAAGAATACAGAACGTGAGGAATCAATTAAGTATATGAGAGTATGCGTACCAAGTGACAGCATGAACAATATTAAGACAAAAAGGTTGCTTTTGGTTTTTTCCCCATAGGAAAAATAATGAACACATGTATAAGCATATCAGAGGAAGATGATATTGATAAGGGCACAGGTATTCAGTGTTTGACAACGCTTTTACCAGCAACACCTCCTAATATATTTCGTTCCCATCAAGAGAAATCAAAAGACAGAGTCGAGGAGATCGGAAGAGTATATTTGGCGATGACCAATATATCGGAATTCTCTGATCTAATCTGGCTAGCGATTGAGGTTGATGTTGAGCACGGCGTTACCACACGTGATCTGATGCGGATGCCTGACCGAGCGCCTTCAGCTAGATGAGTCCACTAAAACATATGGTCAGCACCCAATGTCGAAAACTTACAGGGCTATTTATTTTGGGGATTTATTTACCGCTACAGATCACTCCCCCCCAAGTGGGTTAGTGATGACCCTAAGACGTGGCCAGCCAGAAGTTTAAACCCAGCGAGTTTGTCGTTGGTACACACTCTTCTGATGGCTTGCTAGGTTTAGCAGCGTCCGGTCGTCTTTCCTTACTATATGGGACCGAGGTACAACATAGTAAAAAAAGAAAAAGTACGATGAAAATTTCGACTCCTCGTAAACTGCATCGTCCTTTTCCAGCCGTCCTGGAAAAGAAAAAAGAAAATGTAAGTGCATGTCGAAATACACTCGTATGTGCGTAAAAACACAATGTCGGCGAAAAAAATCGGAATCTAAACTAATTTACACGTAATGGCGTTAAAAAAATTTTTTGTTTTAATTTTTTTTTGAATAAAAAAATATAAACATATAGGCATATTAAAATTGTTTTTTTTAATATTATACATCGTAAAAAGAAAAATCGAGATAATGTAAAATGTCGAGTAGTCCCTTACGTGCAGTAGTCGTTTAAATGTTCTAGAAATCTTACTCTTCTTCCAGAACGCGTCGTTTTAGGTTTACTTTCAGATACATTCGGAGTATCATCGCTAGTGTTGGTTGTCGGTTGAGGAATTATGAGTGTAGGAGTTGTGTTTAGCGATTGCACCGAAGGAAGGTCGACGTGAATAGGATTTCCTTCTAAATACGCTGCTTTTAAGCGATCGATGCTGATGCTATCGTTGGTTCCGTTCTTATCGACTATATAGTACTTAGATTCACGTTGAAGAACTTTGAAAGGTCCTTCGTATGCTGATTCGAATGGTCGTCGATGCGAGTCTCGACGAACGAAAACGTGTGTACTATATCGTAAGTCAGGTTGAACGAAAACATCAGTTGATTGAGGTCGAGTGGAAGCAGGTTTAACTGAACGCATTGCGTTTGTAAGCCTGTTCGTGTAGGAGGTTAGATCCATGTTCATTGAAGAGCACGAAGGATCCACGAATTCTCCTGGAAGTCGAAGTGTCGTTCCATAAACGAGTTGAGCCGCAGTGTATCCAATGTCAGCTTTCACTGCATTGCGGATACCTAGTAAGACGAGTGGAAGAGCGTCGGTCCACTGTGAAACGTTTGCAGCTGATAGTGAAGCTTTTAGTTGTCGGTGAAAACGTTCTACCAACCCGTTTGCTTGTGGGTGGTAGGCGGTCGTTCGGAAGCGAGTGATTCCTAAAAGTGTGGTCAGACGACGGAAAAGTTCAGATTCAAACTGACGTCCGCGGTCTGTAGTGATGGTTGAAGGGCAGCCGAAGTTTGCTACCCATCGTTCGACGAATGTGCGGGCCACTGTTTCAGCAGTGATGTCCTTGATAGGTACTGCTTCTGGCCATCGAGTGAAACGGTCTACGCAGGTTAAGAGATAAGAGTATCCATTTGAATCTGGTAAAGGTCCTACCAAATCCAGATGAACATGGTCGAAACGAGCATCGGGAGTTTTAAACGAGCCTAAGGGACATTTATTGTGTCTGATAACCTTAGATTTTTGGCAGCTTACACAGGAGCGTGCCCACTCCCTCACGTCTTTATTCATGCCAGGCCAGCAAAATCGTTCTGCTATAAGCTTGATGGTTGCACGAACACCTGGATGAGAAAGTTTGTGCAATGTATTGAAGACATTGCGTCGATAATGTTTCGGCACGATTGGGCGATCCCTACCTGTAGATGTGTCACAAAGTAAGGTTTCCTTACCTGTTCCCATCTGTTTGATGCGTAGTTTAAGTGTTGTGGACGATAACTCGTGCTGAAGATCAGTGTCTTCTTTTTGAAGCTCGGCGAGTTTAAGAAGGTCGATTCCTTGGAAACTGTTCAAGGAAGTTATGCGAGATAAGGCGTCTGCAACTACATTGTTTGCTCCAGAGATGTGTTGAATATCTGAAGTAAACTGCGAAATGTAGTCCAGTTGTCGAGACTCACGGGGAGAGTACTTGTCAGAAGGAGAGCTTAACGAGAAAGTGAGCGGTTTATGGTCCGTGAAAAGAGTGAATTCACGGCCTTCGATATAGTGTTGGAAATGCCGTACAGCACAATACATAGCTAGGAGTTCCCTACCGAATGTGCTGTACCTCGATTCGGTGTCTAGCAACCTTCTAGAGAAAAATGCCAAGGGTTGCCAGGAGTTGTTAACCCATTGTTGTAAGACTCCTCCGATTGCCGAGTCGGATGCGTCTACTGCGATGCTAATGGGTGCTCGGGTGTCCTGATGTGCGAGCATTGTTGCTTTAGCAATCAGTTCCTTAACTGTGGAGAATGCTTTTCGTGCGGTGTCGTCCAAATTAATGGATTTCGCATTTCCACGAAGTTGGTCGGTCAGAGGTTTCATAAGTAATGCGCATTTGGGTATGAAACGTCTATAGAAACTTACCAGGCCGTTGAACGTGCGTAATTGCTTGACGGTGGTCGGTTCTGGGTAATCCAGAATGGCCGCCACTTTGGTTCTAAGGGGTCGGATACCTTGAGCATCGATAGTGTGTCCCAGAAAGTCTAATGAGTCGGTTCCAAATTGGCATTTCTGAACGTTTACAGTTATGCCATGTTTTTGTAATCGTTCGAAAACAAGATCCAGATGCTTGAGATGTGTTTCTCTGTCCGGACTTGCGATTAGACAGTCGTCAACATACGCATGTACGAAGTTGAGACCTCGAAAAACGTCGTCTATGAATCTTTGGAATGTTTGAGCAGCGTTCCTTAGACCGAAAGGCATTCGCAAAAATTCATAGAGTCCGAAGGGAGTTATGATAGCTTTTTCGGTATGTCGTCAGTAGCCATAGGGATTTGGTTATACGCTTTAACCAAGTCGATTTTCGAAAAGACAGTTGTACCTTTCAAGGTAGCTGTCAAATCGTGAATGTGAGGCAACAGGTAACGATCGGGAATGGTTTTCGCGTTCAATCGCCGATAGTCGCCAGTTGGACGCCAATCGTTGCTGTCCTTTTTAGGGACCATGTGCAACGGAGATGCATATGGGCTACTTGACGGTCGTATGATTCCTAAGTCTATCATGTGATCGAACTCGTTTTTCGCTAACCTTAGCTTTTCAGGAGCTAGTCGTCGTGCTTTGAGAATACAGGTGGTCCTGTAGTCGTGATGTGATGTGTAACATTGCTGGTTACACACGGTAGTTTCGGTTGAGTTTGTTGTATCCCAGGGTACTTATCGAGTAGTGGTTGATAGAGTGGGTCTATCATATGCTTAACTGTGACTGGGGATACTCTGCAACCAGTAAAAGAAGTTACGCAAACGGACAAATTAGTGTTTCCGTCTACTAGCCTCCGTTTGCGAGTGTCGATGATCAGATTGTGGTGTTGTAGAAGGTCCATACCAATGATTGGCATAGATACATCTGCAACGACGAAAATCCAGTGGATGGGTTTGCGTAAACCCACGTTAAGGTAAACGTACCTTTTGCCATACGTAGCGATCGGTTTTCCGTTTGCCGCCTGTAAGTTTAAAGCCGATTCGTGAAGCTGGTCGTTGGGATTCGCTGGGAGAACGCTAACTTCTGCGCCAGTGTTGACGAGGTAGCGACCTCTCGTTGTCACATCTGTGACGTACAACAGACGGCTATGTTCGCCGGCTACGGT